AGTACATATAAACAAAAGGAGCACAAACTGGCTACCTCTCTGGTTTTAGTCTTGGCTCTTTTTATTGTTTGCTGGCTGCCGTTACACACGATACAATCCATCACATACTATAACCAGAGTATACATGTACCGCCCATTGCTTTGTACTTTGGCATTCTCCTCTCTCATGCCAACTCGATGGTAAACCCTGTAGTGTACGCCTTCAAAATCCCTAAGATAAAGCGGGAGTACGGGAAGATTTGGAGGAGGGTAATTGGTCAACAGCAGCAGGCAGATACAAACAGCAGCAGGACTCCTGCTAGTAATACCACTGATAACCATGATGGACGAGTTCATGTGAAAATCAGTCCACAGGGGGGAGCCAATGACATGACTGACTCCATAGTACAATAAATACTGTGTATATTTATTATGTATATATAAATAAACACACATGCATGTATATATTTAAGAAAAATGTTACGTTTGTATATTAAATATATTTTATATAATATAAATTATATAAATATACACATGTAAATACTTGTATATATTTACAAAATAAATACTGTATGTGTGTGTATTTATATAATAAATTTACACAGTACACACATATTACAATAAAAACTTATTTTGGATGTGATTAATCTTTTGACAGCACTAAAATATACACACACACACACACACACACACACATATATATATAATATATATATATATATGTGTGTGTGTATATTTAACATCACTTTTTTTCAGACTAAACCTAACCTTTCTAATCTTACTTCAGGTTGCAGTTACACTGTTCTGCCAGTAGGGCGCCTCAAAACACCACAGTCAAAGTCTGAGAGTAACTGTAGTTAACAAAGTCCCTTTCAAGTATATATCTATAGTCTTTGGTACTTAACTGAGTAACTGTATGAGGTGTCTGGCTGAATGTGTATAATACTGCACATGTATGTGTAGTTTAGTGCACAATAATATGTCTGTACAATATTACAAATACGAACCTGCAGTGATGTACAAAACAAGTTGTTTAAAATAATAATAAAAAAGCTTCATTATGAAGTACATATATGAGATGTTATTTGTGACTTTCATAATGTCTAAGCAATGTTCATAATATTCTTTTTAGAATAAGTCACTGAAAGAGTCACCCTTTATTTAAAGGTGACATATTGTGCCCCTTTTTACAATATGTAATATAAGTCTCTGGTGTCCCCAGAATGTGTCTGTGAAGTTTCAGCTCAAAATACTCCACAGATCATTTATTATATCAATTTGAAAATGCCTATTTTGAGTGGAAGCAGAAACAAGCTGTTTTTCGGGCCTGTGTCTTTAAATGCAAATGAGCTGCTGCTCCCCGCCCCCTTTTCCAGAATAGAGCTGCGCCATTACAGCTCGAACCTGCTAAAATCATCCGTTTTGGTTCTGATTATCATGTTTACAAAAAGATTCGGTTATGTCTGTGAAGGTAAACAGCTGGGAAATAAATCGCTTGTTTATTTTAGATCTGTGTGGCACCAGCAATATACAGTAAATAAATCAATAAATCCACTGCTCTCTTGTCTCCTCTGAGGCTGGGACTCTAACTAGTGTTCTGTGCTCATCTGTGCAGCCAAAGACAGAACAGTTAGCATGTTTTGCTCAAACCTTCGCCATGGCATTAGAGCTGGTACATGTCTGTCGCTTGCGAGATCAAAATGACGGCGCCTTGACACTGTTGCCAACTCTTGCGAAACAAATAAGCAACCGCAGCTTCAAAAACAAGCCCAATATTTTTTGATCATTTATTATCATCAATATTATTTATTATCAATTATTTATTACCAATAAATGAGCCCGCAACATATTAAACTGAACACTTAGGTACAGGTACACTTAAAACCTGGAAAAGTCAGATTTTCATGATATGTCACCTTTAAATTTAACATTTACATTTAATCATTTAGCAGACACTTTTAACCAAATCGAGAAAAAAAAGAGAACAAAAGAAGCAATCAAACCAACAAGGGCAGTAATATGTAAGTGCTGTGACAAGTCCCAGTGTAACGTGGTACATGTAAATAAATAATAAATAAAATAAAAAACAAGTAGATAGAATAGAAAAGAATAGACAACACTAGTGTTAGAAGATCCTTTTTTTTAATAAATAAATAAAAAGAAAACAATAGAAATAGAATAGAGAGTGCTAGTTTTAGAGGGTCAAGGTATATACAGTATATATATATATATATATATATAAATCAAAGACAATAATTTTAATGTGCTTCATCAGGATGACCAAAACTGCATTGCCGATACGATAACACATTCTGAATTTTAAAATAAAAATGAATCATATTAACAAATAAAATAGCAGTATTGCAAAATAAAATATAGTAGCAAAATAAAATTTAAAAAATGAAAGTAACAGTGCAGAATAAACTAAGAATGATAACAATAACAACTATAATAACAACAGTATGATACTTTACTAATACTACTTTTTTATTGACCAATTTTACTTTTAACATTTACAAGTAGACCGGTTAAAGATACTCCAGTCACTCTGTCTCAACATCTACTCTACTCTCGTTCATTGTGTCTCTCAAGGAAGGCAATAGACTGTATAGTTATCACCTGAATAGGATGAGATCCTTCCCACAAACTATACAACCTACTACCTCAGCTTGTGGAGACACACAGATCTGCAGGTTCACAGGAGCACAGCTTCAGAATGGAGAAGATATAGGCTATAAATGAGGACAACTGAAGTAGCTTAAAACATCATTTAAAGTGTTTCACGCAGTTTCTTCAGTAGACAGCTGGTTAATCTGCCTCCGTAAGAAAGACAGTAGATTGTATAGTTATCTCAAAGGGAGGTTTTATACTCCACAACTATTCAATCTACTACCTCAGCTTTAGGGACAGAAACAAACATGCCGTGGATGTCGTTTCTTCACCGAATCTGCACAGGGATGATAATGAAAAATTTTAATTATTTAAAATTACATTAAAAGGCTTGCTTTATTTATTTATTTATTTTAATTTATCTAAAAACTTACATTTATTGATCTAAAAATTATTATTTATTTAAAAATTATTTAGTCATAAACCCTCCCATAGACAGCAAGGTAACTACCACGTTCAAGGTCCAGAAAAGTACCAAGATGATCGACAAAGTAGTCCGTGACAAATGGGCAAAACCTAGGATAGTGGCACATTTTAAAAATGTAAAATTACAACTAACTAGTATTTGGGGTGAAAGTAATTCGTTTTATAATATGCATTAAAGCAGTATTACACTTATTGTTTTTATGCTTAAACCCTTTTTCGTCTTTGACCCATATACATATTCATATATTAACAATAAATATACCATTTATATATTGTCTTTTTACTTGATTAAAATCAATAAAAAATATCATTAATCATAGATTTTAAAATAAAGCACTGGCTCCATCTCCCCATTTCTTGTCGTTCACAATGACTTTCAAAGTGCAGAAGGCAATTCTATTTCAGTATTTCCTTCTTTGTGTCTTCCTGATTTTCTTTTAAAAGATTAGCGACATAATCAACAAGTACAAGTCGGCTGTAGCAGCGTGCTAATTTGTTCAACCTGAAGGAGAACTCCTGGCATGAAGCAGAGGTGAGCCGCACGAGGAAATAGTGCCGGTTTTCTCTTTGCACTCTTCACATGCCTGTGGTGTTGCATGCCGTTTAATTGCCTGAAGTAAATCGCTGCATTTGAACGCAGCTTTCCCAGCTGTCCGCTTTTAAATAACGCTACATGTTGTCTGCTAGCAAAGCATGAAAGGGAGGGAAAAGGACCAAACAAAATGGCCGCCTTCCTGCCATCTTAAACGAGTGTGCAGTTACAAGTCAAGAACGTGTGTGAAGATGAAACTGGCTTGTAGGCTACTTATTTGTAGAAAGGTGAATGATTGCACAGTAACTGTAAGTATACTGTAAATATATATTGCTAAAATCGAAACCTTTATAACCCTAACAAAATGATTGTGACAGTAATACCATGGTACTGTTAGATTTCTATATTCTGGTAAGCACTGTAAGGTAATTCAAAGAAAAACAATTACATTTATTTGTATGATTTCATTACGATTATGGTCAAACCGTGGTACTTTCTAGAGACTTTTTATAGTCAAACCGTGATACTTTTTAAGGATCTAAATCATGACTAAAAATAGGATAAAAAAATTATTATTAATAATAATAATTATATAATGTGTATGTTTTTCCTGCTTACTGTTTTTCTTAAAACCGTAATAAATTTTTTCGGGATTCTTTGATGAACAGAAAGTTCAAAGGAACCACATTTTTAAAAAAAATATATAAATCTTTCATAACATTTTAAATGTCATTACTGTCACTTTTGATCAATTTAATGCATCTTTGGTGAATTAAAATATATATATATATATGTTCTTTTACAAATCAGCATATTAGAATGATTTCTAAAGGATCGTGTGACACTGAAGACTGGAGTAATGCTGCTGAAAATTCAGCTTTGATCACTGGAATAAATTACAATTTAAAATATATTTAGATAGAAAACTGTTATTGTAAATTGTAATAATATTACACATATTTAAATGTATTTCTGAACAAATAAATGCAGCCTTGGTGAGCATAAGAGACTTTAAAAATCTCATAATTGCATATATCATGTATAAAATTGTGAAATTAATTATGGCGAGACACTGCAGGTGAATAGGGTAAAAAAAATAACCAAGGGTTCCCAAACTTCTGAAGGGGGTAATTTTAATAATTTCAGCTTTTTTTTTTGTCTTGTGGACTATATGTAAATATCATAAACAAAATATCTTACTCAGGACACAGCACTAAATAAAAAATAACATGCATTTTGTATGATCTCTCTTTTGTTAAAATTATTCACTTCACATTTTCACAGATTCTGCAAGAGGTTCCCAAACTTTCACATGCCACTGTGTATATATATATATATATATATATATATATATATACACAGAATATATATGAAATAGAAATGTTTGCATTGTTATAATACACAGATGATGGCGTCCCAGCATGATGGAGCTGTGGTGGCAGACGGGGGTCACCCGGGGGGGACCAAAAGAATGGACTGCCATGGCAAAGGGGCGGGACGGCGGCACCGTGTCTTTGCATAAATTAGCATGTGAACCGAGGAACTGAAAGACACTGGGGCAGGACATTAACATTCTGAATTCCTCTTTGGCCTAATTAATGGCAGTGATTGAAATGTTTTGGCCTGGCAGTTGGCCGAGACAGCGGGGACCCGGTGGAGAGTCTCATAATTGAGATGTTGGATCAGTTAAAGGGCTGAGAAATCAAGAAGTGATACACTGCAAAAATAGATTTTCTTACTTAGAATTTTTGTCGTGTTTTCCAACATAAATATCTAAACATTCTTACAACAAATCAAAATACATTTCATTTTGAAGCAAAGTGACTTAAGATATTAAGTCTTGTTTTCTGAAAAAATCGAAATAATGTGCATTTATGTTTAACCCTCTGGGCCTCTTCAGTCAGAACTGACAGAAAAAAATTACGTCTTGAATTTTGTATAATTTTTGCAACCCAGTCTCATAAAAATACGCGTCTTGCAAAAATGTGCCCCCATGTACGTATTTGCCATGAGACTGGGTTGAATTTTTGGCTTCATGGGAATGGGGTGACACTTGGTGACTTTTGTCGCATTAGCTATGTGACATAAATATCTAAATATTCTTTCAATAAATCAAAATACATTTTATTTAGAAGCAAAATGACTTGAGATATTAAGTCATGTTTTCTGAAAAAATCGAAATAATGTGCATTTATGTTTAACCCTCTGGGCCTCTTCAGTCAGAACTGACAGAAAAAAATTACATCTTGAAGTTTGTATAATTTTTTGCTTCATGGGAATGTGATGACACTTGGTGACTTTTGTCATTGCATTAGCTGTGAACACAAAAAAAATCATGGATATAATTTAAAGGTCAAAAACATGAAAAAGTAACACTCAGTATCTTATAAATATTGCATAGTATCATAAAATCCCCTCAAAATTCTAAATAACATTCAAAAAAAAGGTATTTCGCGTCTTGCAAAAATGTGCCCCCATGTACGTATTTGCCATGAGACTGGGTTGAATTTTTGGCTTCATGGGAATGGGGTGACACTTGGTGACTTTTGTCGCATTAGCTATGTGACATAAATATCTAAATATTCTTTCAATAAATCAAAATACATTTTATTTAGAAGCAAAATGACTTGAGATATTAACTCATGTTTTCTGAAAAAATCGAAATAATGTGCATTTATGTTTAACCCTCTGGGCCTCTTCAGTCAGAACTGACAGAAAAAAATTACGTCTTGAAGTTTGTATAATTTTTTGCTTCATGGGAATGGAATGACACTTGGTGACTTTTGTCATTGCATTAGCTGTGAACACAAAAAAAATCATGGATATAATTTAAAGGTCAAAAAAATGAAAAAGTAACACTCAGTATCTTATAAATATTGCATAGTATCATAAAATCCCCTCAAAATTCTAAATAACATTCAAAAAAAAGATTTCTGAACAAAAATGTTATACATTGATTTTCCTGGAAAAACTTTTGACTGCAAAGGTACCAAGTGTGACCCAAAAATGAAGAGGCCCAGAGGGTTAAAACATGAAAAATATCTGCCAGTGGGGTCAGAAAAATAAACCTAATTCAAAGGGGAAACCAGATTTTTTTTTTCTGACCTCATTAGCAGATTTTTCTTTCTTAGTTTTCAGAAAACAAGTCCTACTAATATCATATAATGTTGCTTAGCTGTGAACACAAAAAAAATCATGGATATAATTTAAAGGTCAAAAAAATGAAAAAGTAACACTCAGTATCTTATAAATATTGCATAGTATCATAAAATCCCCTCAAAATTCTAAATAACATTCAAAAAAAAGATTTCTGAACAAAAATGTTATACATTGATTTTCCTGGAAAAACTTTTGACTGCAAAGGTCCCAAGTGTGCCCCAAAAATGAAGAGGCCCAGAGGGTTAAAACATGAAAAATATCTGCCAGTGGGGTCAGAAAAATAAACCTAATTCAAAGGGGAAACCAGTTTTTTTTTTCTGACCTCATTAGCAGATTTTTCTTTCTTAGTTTTCAGAAAACAAGTCCTGCTAATATCATATAATGTTGCATCTCATGTAAATATATCTTGATTTAAAAATGTTTCGATATTTGGACTGGAAAACAAGACACAATTGGTTTTTACAGTGTGCATTTGAAATGTTTTATAGGCTGCACATCTGTGTAAAAAAGAGCATGTGTGCCATATAAATAGTGATAATAATTTGTGTTGATTGCAATAGAGTCTGATGTAAGCATGTTGCTAAACTAACTTGCTATGTTAATACTCACAAATATTGGGTGAAATTAATTTTTAGTCCGATTTTAGATTTTACTTTTCAGTATTTAATCAAATGTATGTTTCTAATCATTATTTCCCTCTCTCTGTCTTCCAGCTTGTTGCAGTGCATTCTGGGATTGCCTTACCCAGCAGGAAGTACGCCAGATTCTGGCCAAAACAAGGTACTTTATGAAGCGCCGTAATTCAGTTTTTTTGGCGTGTGCTTATGATGCATAAAATTTCGTCTAGTTAGGCAGCTCACTACGTTTGCTGTGTTGGTCCTATGGCTTCGTTTGACATTTTTCTTGGATCTCAAAAGGACTATTTGTTATTCCATCACAGTATATGGTCCACGTCTCACTGAAGTCCATGGATCATTACACAAAGTAATGGCTATGTCAACATGAGGCTAAATCTTTATGTCTTGTGAGAGATAATATATGCAAAGCTCTACATAAACAGTATAAGGCATTATAACTTGAACTCTCTCCTTCACCAGAGAGCAGATTCACATATGTATAACTCAATCATATTTGCGATTCAAACAGCATTTTGTATAACATATTTGGCAATGAGATACTTGTGATAAGATGGTGACAAACTAGAACAAGTTTGTCAGCGGAAGTGGTTTAGTTTCTCTAACCTCAATCTTGCGGTTAAACGCAAAGGTATTCGTTTTTTATTTCACCTCTGCTGTCAGTATTTCCTCATGTGTTTACATCTACTAAATGTATTTTATTTGAACTTTCATTTAGCTGTGGAGTGCAAACAGAACAGAGTTTTGTGCACAACATGCAAGTTATTTCCTTCAGATTTTTTTCCACATCTTTTTTTATATAAACGGCAAAAAAAAAAAAAGCTATAGAAACAGTTTTTCGATCAGAAATTGCTATTAAATTTGTATATATATATATATTTTGTTTTTGTTTTTGTTTTTTTTGGTTAATGCGCACTGATGCATCACAAACCATAAGACCAGGAATGTGTATTTAGAAAGTAAATTGGGTCAAATTAGATTTCTCTTTCAAACTTATGCAACCTAATATGCCTATTTAGCACCAAAAGGCTCTTTTATGCAAATCTGGTGCTATTTTATCTAGAAAAGCAATAAGTACTGCACTTACAGCATTGTGAGCTAAGGAACATTTTCGGCATATTTGCATGTTAATTGTCAGTAAATGTAATTAAATGCATTGTGATCATTATGAAAGTGAGTAAATATAGTCCTACCTGCTCATTAAAAGCGAGATGACACTTCACTTCCCGCATCTGAATTAGTAGAACTGTTATCTGCACCATTGTCTACTTATGCAGTGTGTTTAAACCCACGGTTGTGCAGCCGTGCAAATCCAGAGGCCTTTTGAACACGCTTATCATTTGCAGCATATTTTTGTGCCTTTCTGTGCATATTTTTCTTCAGATATTTTATAAAAGATGCATTATTGCTCTTTAAATGTCATGTAAATGTAATTAAATGCATCGTGACCATTAGTAAAGTCAGTAAAAAATAGTCCTACCTGCTCATTAGAAGTGGGATGACACTTCACTTCCCACATCTGAATTAGTCAAATTGTCCATTTATGCAATGTGTTTTAACCCACGGTGGTGCAGTGGTGCAAATCCAGAGGCCCTTATTACATGCTTATCATTTGCAGCGACCCCTAACAATCTGCAGAACTTCAGCTCTACGCCCTGGATGCAAAAATAGCAATTCTAAACAGGAAGTGCCTGTTGACCTTGTTTGTGTATGCGTTCAGTGTAAGTTCAGCACTTATCACGATAGCTGTATCGCAAACAGATGCAGCTTGCAACATTCGGCAGTGCGGTTGCAAAAATAGCGCTTTTTCTATATGATTTGTTGAATTAAAAAATATTATTGGAGTACGTCATACAAGAAAATATTGTGTCACTCTTATTTTGTATTTAATTCAGTGTTTGAAACTGTTGAGTGAAAACTGTTTCTACACCAATTTTTTTCAGTGTAGCTCAAACACAAAAAAAAGTTTTTTTTTTGTCATTGCCTTTGTTGACACTTGTTAATTAGGCCTGTAATAAAACACTGAAACTAACACTAAAAATGTAAGTAATTTCTGCACTGGAGTTGCAAAAATAATTATTGCTTCCAAATAGGTTTCCTCGAACACTGCCTGCAATGTTTTATTTGCTCATAAAAACAGTTAGTCCCGCCCACAAACTCACACCATTGGTCGAGAAGGTCAGGATTCTCAAGTAAACGTTTTGATAGCTCAAAACAAAGCCTAAGAGTTATTTTCCAGGGAAATAGCTTACTTATAGTTGTCACATTGAGCAAAGACAGAAGAAAGTATTTTAACATTGAAAATACAGCTTTGAATTAAGATTTTTGCATGCAGCATGTGCAAGTAAGAAGCCATGTGCTTTCGAAAGCTCATAACTTGATCTGTTAACTCTTTCTTTTCGATACCTGTGAGACAAATGTGATCTGAACTGCTACAAAATGAGACCTCGAATCACATTAGCGACAAATACCTGCTCTGGTGAGTGTCAGGCAGCCGTAATTACAGCTGGATGTCCCAGGGTTCGGCTGTTATCCACAAGGCTCTTTTTCTTCATAATGTGATGCTGTTTCTGGTGTTATTGCTTCAGAATTGCAGGTGATTACCAAAATATTTTTCCCGATAAAGGGTCTGTGACTTTGTTCCTGGTTACCACAAAGACACAGAGAGAAAGAGGGAGAGAGGGAGGGAGCACAAAAATAGCAGGAAGTAGAGAGGGCAGGCCAGAAAAAAAAATCATCAAGTAACGTGACAAGTTCATCTGAGGATAGTGAGGGAGGGGAGGAGGAAGTGTTTTCATTTTTTTCCTCTGTCACTCCTCCCACCACCTTACTGCTGTTTTTCGTACTCTGTTTTCTCTTTGTACAGTATTCAGGGCAGTTTTCATTTACAATAGTTTCGACGTCTCTAAAAGAATTACGATTCTTTGTTGACTGTGTTAATGAACTAACCAAGAGTAGTTAGGCAAACAAAACGTGAGGTGCTTTGGAATGGAAATGCAATGTATAATCAAAATGGCATAAATAATCTCCAAATGTGTTTTTAGTTCAATCGTAGATGAAAGAAAGACATATCAAGTGTGTTTTAATATTATTTGTATTATTATTATTTTTTTACACCTGTTAGTGAATATTTACAGTGACCAAAAGTCTGAAAAATTCAGAAAAACAAACAAACAAACAAACAAATATATATATATATATATATATATATATATATG